ATTTATTTTTTAGGTTTTTTTTAATGCATCAAATTAATTATGTCATATCAAGTAAACCTACACACGATTTAAAATATTCTTCTAGAAAAAAATGTTAGAAATGCTTGGATATTTCTTTTTTATGTCAAATATTTTTTTTGATCACGTGTTTTGCTGATTAACTTGAATAAACTCAAATTATTTTATTGTGTTCTATTTTTAGATATGGTGAGCTTCGTTTCATATTATTTATCATAAGTTTGATATATTAATCAAGTTAACTTGAGGTTTTTTTAATTGGTGTTTCTTTATATATTATTCTTTGATATTGAATTAATTACTTCTTGATTTTTTTGTTTGTTTTTTATGAGGTTATTCTAGTCTTATGACATGAGTCATATATTTTGCGGGTTAATCTAAATAAACTCAAATCATTTTATTGTGTTCTGTTTTTAAATTTAACTTTTTTTTTTAATTTTCTACTTTTAATAAATGAGTTTATTGAAACTTGAGTTTTATAATTTTTTTAATTTATTTTTTATGAAGTTATCTCAATTTTATGATTTTGATTACTGGTTTGGCAAGTTAAATCATGTCAAATTTTTCTGTCATTTTTAAAATATATATTTTTTACTTATATTCCTCAACATTGAGTTTATTGATAATTAAATTTTATAATTTGTTTTGATTTTTTTATATGTGATTATTATAGTATCATTATCTAGATCATGAATTTGACAGGTTAACTTAGGATGACCTCAATCGATCCAAATATAGCCGTTTCAATATTGTTTTTTTTTAAAATATTATCTTGAATTTTCATAATCAAAATATATTTTTATTAGTTATTTGAGTTATTTTTAAATGTATTAAATCGATCAGATTATATTAATTCAATCTCCATATAATTTAAATTTTGTTACTAAAAAAATATTAACAATATCTCAATATTTCTTTATATTAATTTTTTTTAATTTTCAACTTTTAACAAATGAGTTTATTGAAAATTGAGTTTTATAATTTTTATAATTTATTTTTTATGAAGTTATCTCAATCTCATGATTTGAATTACGGGTTTGGCAAGTTAAATCATGTCAAATTTTTTTGTAATTTTTAAAATATTTTTCTTTAATTATATTCCTTAACATTGAGTTTATTGATAATTAAATTTTATAATTTGTTTTGATTTTTTTATATGTGATTGTTATGGTCTCATTATCTAGATCATGAATTTGACAGTTTAACTTAGAATGATCTCAATCGATCTACATATAGTCGTTTTAATATTGTTTTTTTTAAAATATTATCTTGAATTTTCATAATCAAACTATATTTTTATTAATTATTTAAATTGTTTTTAAATTTATTAAATCGAATTATATTAGTTCAATCTCCACGTAATTTAAATTTTGTTACTAAAAACGTATTAACAATATCTCAATATTTCTTTATATGTTTTTAATAAATTTAATCCAACCCACAACTAATCCTAGTTAATAATTTAGCATTCACTGTAACATATAATATTATTAAATTAAATAACAGTGCGAGGGAAGTAGTAAAAATTTCTAATAAAAATAATTTTTAAATTAATGAAATGGAACAGTTGGTGAAATATCTCGAGCATTTCAGTTCGTTTTGACTCATCTCAAACAATATAAAATGAAATTTTAAATGATATAAAACAAATAAATATTTTTATATTTTTAAAAAATAATTTGAAACTTAGATACAGCGTACGAAATGGAAATGCATTGAAAACCCTGGAAGTAAATTGTGGGTCAAATGTGTGAGGCCCAAATAGTGTTAACATTAGTCTAGCTGGCCCAAACTGTTGTTACAAATTTCACGTCTTTCTTCTCCTTCCTTGGCGCCCGTTCTGGGGATTGCAGAGGAAATGGCAGTGAACCTCCAAATTCCCAGGCTCTTTCAAAAGTCCCTCTCTCCAAAACCTTACCAAATCAGTCATTTATTAATCAAATATCTATGCACCACACCCGAGATCCCCCTCACTACTCATGACTCATCCAACTCGCCTGAGTCTCCTGATCTCCCAACTTGGCTCTCCCAAAGCCAAAACCAAAAACCCTCTGACCCGGATGATGGAGATTTTGTTATCCCTTCGCTTGCCAACTGGGTCGAGAATCCCAACCTTGAAACGCACAGAAACGTTCCCAGTCCCTTGCTATTCGAACCACAAGTTAGCAATGCCGATAAATTGAGTGAAATCCTTAAAAAACGCTACTCATCTGAAGCTGCTGTTGTGAAGGCGTTGAATGAGAGTGGTATTGATGCCACAAATGAGTTGGTTTCACAGATTTTGATGAGATTTGACAGCCATTGTGTCGTGGCTTTTGGGGTTTTCATTTGGGCAAAAAATCAAACAAGTTATGTGCATACACCAGAGTTATATGATTACATGATTGATATATTAGGGAAGTTCAAGAAGTTTAGTCTTATGTGGAATTTAGTTGAGCAAATGAAAGGGTTAGATGGGTACGTTTCATTGGCGACAGCGAGCAAGGTAATGAGGCGGCTCGCTAAAGCTCGCAAGTATAAAGATGCTATCGATGTATTTAGAGGAATTGAGAAATATGGTGTTAGCAAAGACAGAGAGGCATTGAATATCCTAATGGATGCATTGGTGAAGGAGGGCGATGTTGAGGATGCTCATAGTGCGTTTTTAGAGTTTAAGGATTGTATAACTCTGGATTCTAGTAGTTTCAATATCTTGATACATGGCTATTGCAAAGCACGGATGTTTGTTATTGCAAGAAAGATAATGGAAGAAATGGAGAAACACGGGTTTCACCCTGACGTTGTTACATACTCTTGTTTCATTGCAACATATTGTGAACAGAAGGATTTTAGAAATGTAGAAGCTGTTTTTGATGAGATGCAAGAAAAGGGTTGCAAGCCTAATGTCATTACATATACTACTGTTATGCATGCTTTAGGGAAAGCAAGGCAACTAAATGAAGCTTTGGAGGTTTATGAAAAAATGAAAAGAAATGGTTGTCTGCCAGATTCTAAATTTTATAGCTCCTTAATATATGTATTAAGTCAATCTGGAAGGATAAAAGATGCTTGGGATGTTTTTGAGGACATGGAAAAGCAAGGTGTTTGTCGGAATTTGTGGGTATATAATACCATGATTTCTTCTGCTTGTGCACATTCTCAAGGAGGGAGTGCTTTAAAGTTGCTTGAAAGAATGGAAGGGGATTCTTGCAAGCCAGATGTCAAGACTTACGCACCTTTATTGAAGATGTGTTGCAGGAGGAAATCTGTTAAGCTGCTCAAGTTTCTTTTGAGTCACATGTTCAAGAACAATGTCAGTGTTGATCTTGGTACATATACTCTTTTGGTGAATGAATTTTGTAGGAATGGGAAACTTGAACATGCTTGCTTCTACTTTCAAGAAGCTGTGTTGAAGGGAATGGTTCCTATGGTTAAGACATTCAAGGCGCTGGTGGAGGAGCTTGAACAAAAGAATATGAAAGAAATGAAGGAAAAGATTGAGAAGTTGATGTTTCAGGCGAGAGAGTCTTCAACTTTCGGGAAACCTGTTTAACTGTAAGGATTCATGAATTTTTACTTGAGCCTCAAGGAAGCTTGCTTTCATATTCAGTATGAGCAGGTTGGTTGAATTTCAGCAACTTTTTGCTACTGAACTCCTGTTCTTAACCCTATTACTTTCATGGTTCCATCTAGCACCTCAACAGCTGAAACTGAGCTCAGATGAAGAATGTGATGCACTGGTGAAGAGTACATCATTGTAGCTTTATTTAGTTTCTCACTAGTGTCTCTTCACTCCTTATTTTTTATCGTGTTTTTTTATTTTTCCCTTTCCTCTTCTTTCCTCTTGGGTGTAGGACGGGGCCCGATGCCCGATAAAATGACCGAACACCTCACAGATAGGGTACAGTAACACCTTTTATCCAATAACAGATCCACCTCCCATGGAATATTATCTTAAAATCCAGGCCTCTCCCCTTCAGAGGCACCTAAGTTGACCGAGAAACCCTCCCTAAAATTGTGTCAAACCCGCACCCTTCAATGTCGAACAGAGCTTGACCCTATGGAACAAAGCAAACATGGCTCTGGAACTGTATCTTTCTTTCTGGATCATTTGAATCACAGTACTAGAGTCCACTTCCACATTAACTTGTCCAAGGCCCAAACTTTATGCCAACTCCAAAACTGTCTGAACTGGCCATAACTGAGCTCTGCAGCTCAGGAGGAACCCAACTAACCTGCATATGAGCATAGAGAGCGCGAAGCTTGATGTAGCAGCCCTTCTGCGTCTTAACTCATCATTTGCCAAACGATTGAAAATGTTTT